CTAGTCAAATTCGCTTCAGCTTGTCAAATAGGTTTCACAAAACATATTCTCAGGTACTACTGAAAATTTAGAGGCTGTGGACTAACACTTCTGAAAAATTTCATATATCTTTGGTTCCATTATTCCATTTATCAAGAACAGCTAAAATTATTTCTAAGAACTTGCAACACTTTCTTTTCAAATATTAGAGAAACTTGAAAAATAACATCTTAATTACTTTTTCTTTGGGAAAAGTGAAGTACTTTAGAGAACTGGACACAAATTCCATTTCATCAATTTCTAGCTTATTTATTTGACTGCAAACAAGTTACTTATGTTCTCTAGCTTCAGCTTTGCTTTGTTAAAACTGTAAATATTAAGCAATAACCTGCATGACAGCATTGTCCTGGGAAATAACTAAGATGGAATCTTAGCAGCTGTATAAATGTTCTCTCTTTTACAAGTTATCATGTACTAAATTCTGATAATATACTGAAATCATTTTAGCTTTTTAAAAAATACTGTTGATCGGTAAAGAATAAAGAGTCAGGGAATTGTTAAATAAATTTCTTAGTGTTCATTGTGCAAAAAAGAAAAAAAACTGGTTTATGTTCATATTAGTGATGAAATGATTTTATTACTCAAGAAATATATTGTTCAGGGTCAGGGATTTAGCTCAGCAGTGTAAGCACCTTCCTGGCAAGTGCAAGATCTTGAGTTCAATCCCAAGTACAAAATAAACAAACAAAACATATATATATATATATATATATATATATATATATATATATATTTCAACTTTTCTTGACATTTTTGCCTTTGGGGGCTGTACTTTCAAGGAAAGATTCATTGATTGAAGTTTGTCATAGTAACAGATTATCATGAGTAGCAAAATCTCTTTTTGTAGCACAAAATTTCTGTTTAAAGTAGCCACTTATTTTTGCCTTCCCATAAAAATTAACCTTTATTGATGAAATAATATTTTGTAGTCACCAAAATAATCTGTCTTTCCTCTGCTATAACCAGACCACTAGAGTCTGTCAAAGGCCATTGTCCAACCTATTTTCCAACAAATTATATCTTCTTTTAAAAAGCGAACACTTACAAAGAAATTTAATTTTACTTAAATATAGACTTTAATCTCTTAGAACAGAGACATGAAGATTTTAAAGGATGAGCCAGAATCACAATTTAACTAGATTAAAACGTGCTTTTCAGAAAAAAGAAGAGAACGAGCTCATTATCTCTGATGGTCTTGAAAGCATAGACTTGAAGTGACTAGGACACTAACTACCTGGGTGGCCTTACATGGATCAGTGGAGTTATCTTTCTGTGAATTTGTATTTCTGGAAAAGAAAAAAAAGATGCAGTGCCTATTAGGTCGACTCAAAGGGTACTTAATGAGGATACAATGAAGTGACGGTTTTTTTAAAATGTGCTCATTTATATGCAGCTCCCCGAAAAAGTACTTCCTCAAATTCAGCCAGCCTGGGGTGGAAAGAACATGTCCCTGAGTACCTTTAAGACTGGGCTTCTGCAGATGAACCATGCAAAGGACTCATGCTTATCTTCTTTATGTAGATCTTGAGCTTGAACCTTAATTCTAGAAATCAACTTATGGTAGAAAAATATTCCAGAATAAAATCACCAGTGTCCTTCATAGTTGCAGAAAGAATAAGTTACCTTTTACTAATGTCTATTCTATTGAACTTTGGTCTTTAGAGCTTTTGACTAAAGGTGAATTACTGATATGATATCTAGTGTATTTTTAAATGAGCTCATTTTTACAAAAAAGAGTTTTACCTTCTTTCCTTCCAACAGAATTGAGTTATCTTGGAAAAACATGGAGGGGCATAAATATAATCTGAAATCAGAGCATGAAGGTGCATGGTACAACATTGATATGATGTCTAATACAGACTTTTGGTCACAAAATAATTATACAGAATTCTGGTATTCTTCACAGAGCTTCTTCCAATAACTTCTCCTCATCTTCCTGTCTTCATCTCCTCTACCCTACCACCCCCCCCCCACAATTGGCTTTATCAGATCTGAAAATGAACTAAATGCGTCCTCCCTTAGGAGCGTTAGTAGCTGAGAATGTAAACCAATAAAATAAAGATGGTCCTAAGTTATTCTATTATTTTGTGTTGATCATTGCTGAGTATCAATAGCAGTTTCTTTGATTCTGTATTTTATTCAAAATCATAGCTGTGCTTAGTTGTTTGTTTTGCTTTATCAGGCGAACCAGCATGCCATATTTGATATGTCTCTTTGGGCCTGTAACTTGCCTATTACAAAAACAACTTAAGCCGACTTCTACAAGAAAAGTGAAACATAGAATAAACCTAAGAACTGTTAGATTAGGTTGAAATGAACTTTGGTTTCATTTGCATTTCATCATGTTTTTATCATTTTTATCATCAAGTTTTGTTTTGAAACTTGCTTTTAGATAATTTTTTTTTTTTTTTCGTTTTGGTCCCTTTGCTTTGAATGATCTGTCGTGCAGTAGTCACATGGCCTGTGTTCTCATCCCAGGTGCTGTACTTGTTCGTGTCAAAGATAAACAAGCCTGACTTGTTAGTTAGGGTGGTAAAGACAGACTGAATTCAGTAGTGACTATTGCAATAGGGAGGCATACACTGTGTGAACCTCCCTGAACTTTCCCAAAACAAAAGAAAGGAGACATTTTAAAGGCTGGAGTGTGCTGAGAGAAATCCACTGAGGAGTGTGAATAGGGCTTGGCTCAGGTAACTGAACCATCTGAGTTTGTTAATCACATTTGTTGAGAGGAGAAAGAAATGTCGGTGTCTTCATGACAAGGGCCAGTAGTATGTTTAGAGTACAGCACAGGGAATGCAAGAAGGCAGCTTGCGTAGCAGACAGTTTACAACTCAAAGGGGCAGAGAAACGATTGCTTATGTTTTCTAAGCTAACTTCTTAAATCAGGCGTTCAGGGGCCTATACCTGTGTCTAAGAGTTCGGTTTGAAGATAAGAAATTTTCCTGGCAGCATTGAACTGTCCCAGATAGGAAGGATCCTTAAGGAATGATGAATCAAGAGGAACACAGCCTCGAGCTGTTACAAACTATGCTAGTGTTTGCTCAAGTCTTTTAACATGTATGCATATGAGGGAACAGAACACAAATAATTTAAAGTGATCATTTGAAGGTTTTATAGGTAATATTGATGTCTAGCTGAGAAGATGGCTCAAAGAAGCATAGTTAGTGGGTCATTTGCTAGCACACCTTTCCAAAGCTACTTAGTCTTGGTTTGCTTCACTTTCCTAGTTTGTAAAATGTGAAAACCAACAGAACCAAATCATGGGAAGGTGTTTTGAGGAATAAATGAAAAGTGTTGGCACATAATAAGTTCCCGATAAATATTATCATCTTTAAAATGAGGTAATAATGTTTGTCTAGTATACATGGTTATTTTGGTTATTAAATGGCGTAATAGAAATATAACATTGAAAATTATGTCTGGCACATACTAGAGTATATTGGCTAAAAATAAAAAGAGTAGCAGCAATAACTATAGAAGCCACAAAATATTTGTTAGTCCTAAATTACTTGTATCTCAGGATGATCAAATAGAAGAAAAATCTTGAGCTCATTATTTTTTACTTTATAATGAACTAGGTTTGTTTTATAACATTGGTAATTTAGAGATTGGAAAAATACGAGCAGTATTATTCATGATTGTAAAGTTCTTAAGTACTATTTTGCCTGTATATTTCTTGGATTTTAATACACAATTCATTTCTTTTGGGCTCTCTGTGATTTAACCTAATTGTGCAAGCTTCAATATATCTCTGCGTGTTTCTTTATTGGCAGAATGTTTTAATCTAAATAATTATAAAGACATTTAAGAAATGAAACAATTTGCACAACTGAGAAAAATATCTACAAAATTAGTAATTTATGTAGTTATATTTTTGTATTTTTCAACTTTAAGATTCTATATCATCTATATATGCAAGCTTCCTTTTTCCCAAAGAAGTAAACACTTAGGCTATATTAACAATTTTTAGTTGCTAATAGTAGATTTAGAGAAATTAGAAGACTATCTATATTGGAGGAGTCTATTAATTCCAGCACTGTGCAGTAATAATCTATGAAGCACTTATTTCTAAGTGAATGCAGCTCATCTGTATGTTGGGCGTATTATCAACCATGGAACATGCTTTGTGGAATGTGGGTTTCTATTAAAGAACCAGTTCTCAGAGCATACTTTCCTCAAATTGAAATTTTTGGGCACTCAGAATTCTTTTTCTTTTTTATATTTTTCCTTTTGCTTTTTTGTTATTCTTGTTTAGAGCTAGGGTCTTGCTATATTACTGAGGCCAATCTTGAACCATTGGTTCAAGTAATTCTCTTGGCTTAGCCTTCCGAATAGCTGAGACCACAGTCATGCACCACTGAGCCTGGCTTACCAAAAAGTCTTGGTGTTACTACATTTGGTGGTGGAAAAATGATGACTTGGATAAAGGACTAATAACTGGAAAAGAAAATAGTTTTAGTTAATACTGATTTTTTTCATGTACTACATTAACATTTTAAAGTAAGCCAGAATGCTGTATTACACTTAAGACCAACTTTAATTCACTGTATTTCTTTAATAGTTGGGACACTCATATAGTAATTCAGGAAAGTACTTAACTGTACCAGTAGTAAAGTTGGTCAAATTGGCTCTCACTATTTTCAAATCAAATGCATAGCATTAAGTGTTTCCACAATTTTTAATATAAGCACCCAAAATTTTTCCCTTACTGTGATAGTACTGGAAATGTCTTTTATGAAAATTGGTTCAAGAGGTAGGGTTGAATGTTGTTTAAGGAAGAGTCTTAGGAAAACTTAGGGTACTTATGTTCTTTCTAAGCAGCCCCTCATCTCCGTAGGCAACCTCACTTTACTGGCCCAATACTTCTTTTTCAGTCATGGAAGCCATGCATTAATTGTTATTCATTCTCATTAGCAGTAATTTAACCAGATGTTTTTTTACCTTTTGTTCCTTAACAGTCTGATACTTACTTCTGCATGTCAATGCGTTTGCCAGTGGATGAGGAAGCCTTCGTGAGTAAGTATTAATTGGGTGGTGAGTGTGGGAGGGAGTGGCAGCTGTTTGAAATCCATAAAAGGTTCGCTTTGATGGTTATGAGTGTATTAATCTTTTAGTGTCAGGTTCCAAAATGCATTTATCATGCCTAATGCGGAAACAAACTAGAAGCAGCCACTGAGAGACAAGGTTACATTCTGTGTCTGGAGGGGTTGATGAGTAATAGTAGGTTCCGGAGTTGCATGCGTATGTCAGTGTGTTCCCATTTGTATGATATTGGCTTCCTGTCCGGGGCTGAACACTTAATTCCGCTCCACTCAACAGACTGTTTATTTACCTTCTGGTTCATACTGTAAATCAGCTGCATTTAGAATCAACATTGGGTAATGTGAGATCTTACGTGTCAAACAGGTAGATGGATAAGGAGGAAAGGAAAGGGCAGAGAGAAGGAAAAAAGAGGGAAGAAAAGGAAAATAGGAGAAAAAGGAGGAACCTCCATAAGAGGAAAAGTAACACAGCACCATCTGCTTGCATCTAGGTTGTTTTAATTTAAACATCCTTTGTAACAGACTTTTTTAACTGTCTAGGGAAGAAATGTGATTGGCAAATCATTCATGTGGGTTTTTATTTTCCTGCTTCACTTTTCTGGTTTAAAATGTTGATTTTGGAAAGCAATGGTAATGAGAGTTGTACTTTGGTCCCTTGAAACTAATCTTCAAGTAGGCTGTCTGAAATGACTATTATGTGAATTGTAGAATGTGTACCACAGATAGCCCAGGGGCAATCTGAGGATGAATTTTCATGAGGCATTCCCCACAGGAGTGCACATTATCAACCATCAAAGCCAAAACATTGTGCATCTATTCCCCTCCCCCACAAACTGGTGGCAATCACAACAAACAATCGGTTTATTACAGTGCTCTCTAAACAGAACTGTCTCAATAGTCAATCCCTAAGAACAAAAATCACCCCATGAGAAGTTGAATTTTGCCTGCTTGTTTTGGATAGCATTTGGAAATTGGCAAGAAAAAAATTAGGAAAGACAGCACCCCTCCCCCAGGTCCTCAATTAAATAATATTAAAGACAGAAATAGAATTTAAATCCTTATTGTATTTCTTTGAGAAACCCAAGTATCATTTAGAATATAAATTCACGATTACAATGTTAACAGCAGGTTTTTAAAGTTTCATATGCACATATTTGGCATTGGAGGAGAAAATAATATTTACTCATGAAAGGATTATATGATTGTTTTTCCTTTACTAACATACTTCTTTTTTCAAAGTATGTCTTAATTCCTACCATTTTTACTGTTTTGAAAAGAAAGGCGCGGTGCACACTGTGTAAATATGGTGGTCCTGTGTCATAGCATATTGCAGGTCTCCGTTTACAGTTACTGGCTTGCATTTGGGGGATGGTGACAGTGTATGATTTTAGAGCTAGAGTTCTGAGGACTAGGAATATTTATCCTGCAATGTGTTGCTGCTCCCTAACATAAAAGTTTTTACTCTCATGTAACTTAAAGTCTAAAAGTACAAGTGTATTTATGGTGTTCAGTAAGCAAAATGTTCACAGCACATAAAGAACAGCATTATGATTACTATTATTTTGTTTAAGAACAGCATTAGAACCAGCATGCTAACCGTTTCTTCATTTTCTTAGGCCAGGCTCTTATACTTTTAGGCTGTTTTGAACAAAATCATAACTTTTTCCAGAGCATCACTTTTGTTTAGTGTTTTAATAAGAATCACAGAATTGGAAAGGCTGAAAAAACGAGAAAATCTGCATTTGACCACCGAAGTGTGGTGCTGTCTAAAAGGTGTTTTACAGACACTCAGAGGAATTGGCTCTGACAGCCGCCCACTCAGCCAAAAAATTTGACTGTCATCTTCATCCACTTGCTTTCCCTCACATGGATGACCAGTAAATAAATGTTTCTTTTCCTTAGTGAATGATGGCAAGTCCTTGTCTGTCAAATTGCAATGCAGAAATGAGATAGAAGCCACTGAATTTAGAAAGAGATGAAATTATTCTAATGATTCATTGCTCTTCATTGTCTTGGCTTTCTTTTTTGAATGTAGAACAATTTCTATTACAGAATTGCATAGTCATATTTGAATATTTCTAAACATGCCCTTTCTTAAAGTATATGTTCAGGTGATGGAGGGATACTTTGAAAATTGCAGGAACAATCTAATTTTGTTCATGCTGTGGATCACCAGGTAGCGTGACCATAAAGACCAAGGTCTGGCAAGGTACATCGCTTTTATCCACATTTTATGGCTTTGACAACAGTAAATAAAAGGATATATGTATGCACGTGTGTGCAAGTCCTCATCCCCATGTAATCACGCTGTCACTTTTCTGCTTCCAAAGAGTTGATTGAATGTCCTTTCCCTGGCCTTTGCTAGAATTTTCTCCAACATGAGTATACAGTTTCTATCTCTAGGAGACCATTGAGAATATTTCAGCACCCACAAAGGAAGCTCATATGTTTTTTAATTAAAAAGTACTTGGAAAGAGTTACTACTGATAGCACAAATAAGATGCTCTGTACCCAAGGCCTTTGACAAGTGGATAAAATCTGATTTCCTTGGTTATAATCATTAAGCAGAAGTTATTGCTATCTATCTTGTCACAGTCTCTGAGGATTTCTTGAATGTCCTCAATCCTTTGGTCACTCACATATCCATGTTTCCAATACAGCAACCCTTATCCACTTGCAGATTTTTCTCAGTTAACAAAAATGGTGGAAAAACAGGAAGAACTATTTTATTATGGTTTATAAAGCTAAGAGTAGAAATGATTTCAGTTACATAGAACTAGTAATTACCAAAGACTTATTGATATAACTGTTTTATGCAGTAATATAAAAAGTGCTTCCTCCTCGTAAAATGACCAATTCAGAAATCCCAGATCTGAATTAGTTTGTAGTGTAGTTACCCTTTACGGATGGAGCTTTCATGAGCTTGTAACTTTCATTCTGCAGTAACCATTTGAGCTAGTTTAGTAAGTTACTTACAGTAGGGATCAACTGTGAAAGATGAAAGATGTCCTTGTTACCTGGGAAAATTTTGTGAGGGAGATAGGCAATATTTGATCAGAACCTAGGAATACAGCCTGTTTGGACATAGAGATGGCAGAGAATATTCTAGGGGTCAACAGTATGAGCACATAAAGGAACGCACTGGGTATGTGTGTGAGTGACAACATCTTGTCATGCTAGAGCTAACTCTGATCCAGACTATTATGCACTCAAATACCAGCCTCACCACTTTCTAGTTCACAACCAGGGACGATTACTACAGCTTTCTCTGCTCAAAGCTCATCTGAGTGAGACGAAAGGGGTCAGACTCAGTAAATGAGTGCCTAGTCAGTGTTAGCAGGTGGATAATAGAAGGGCTGCCTAATGAGAGTGAAAGATGGGAATAAGGGATTGCCACATCGGAAGAGTGTTGAGCTGGGAAACTGGTACAATGTTATATATACCTTTAAAACCCCAGCAGGAGGATATAGATCTGATCCTACAGGAAATTAATAGGACACTGTTACAGGACTGACATTACAAAAACGGAGCTTAATGATGCTTATGTTATTTTATCTTGCATAGCTTGACTAGTAATGTCTATTTATTGATTCTTTAGTCAGTTCTGGAACATACCATAAAGTTCAGTTTTAAACAGCCTATCATGTAGAAATTTAGTTCTTTGTATTGAAATTCCTTTACTCAGACACAAGGATCACTTCATCTAAATTTACAGTCAATATATAGGCTACTAAGGTGTCTGATTTCTTGGCTTATTTGGCAGCAGCAGCAGAAAGTCCTCATAAACGATGTTAAAAGTTCTTCATGAATTGTATATCATTGTCCATGCTACCAAGAGTTAATGACAGTTTCTCTAGTGAGCGTGCTGACTGAAAATGTTTAGTGAAAAGGTCTTCCTTGCACTGTCAAATTCCTTCATACCGTGGGGGAAGCTTGCAGAAGACTGTTGCTGCTGGTTCTCAACATGCTGGCACATGGATTCTAACACTATGAAGTGTACACTTAACTGCACCCTTTTGGCCTCACTGCGTGATTCCCAGCATTACAGTTGATCAAATCTTACACTTAAATTACAGTTTAGAACATTGCTATCGTCAGTGCCTCTTTTCCAATTCAGTTTTTGAAGCATAATCTTTATTTTAGAAATACAGAAATGTTTAAGGGAGCAGTATTAAGGGTTTGGGTCCTGTAACTTTAAAAAAATCATGATATCCATTTTATATTATTGTTCCTTAAACCTTTCATCTCTCCAATTCTATCAAATGTGCTTTAGAAGCACTGGAGTATTAGGATACTGACTCTTTCTTACCAACATCGGGCCCATTTCTCACCATAGGCCCCCTTCTGACTAAAATGTCCATTTGTAGAACTGCTTCAGACTTTAGCCCCTAATGGATTTTAGGTCACACAACTAAAGTTACATGATGTAATGCGGAGTCCCAGCAGTTCCATTCAGTAATTCCAAAATACCACCTAATTTTATTTCCAGAAACTCTTTATAAGTATGTATGCAAAGAAACTTTTTTTGTTGTTGTTTGTCCACGACTTTTAAAGGAGAAATACAGGGCCCATGAAATAGCTCAGCAGCACAGTGGCTGCCTGGCCAGTGCAAGGTCATGATTTTAATTCCTATTACAAAAAAAGAAAGAAAAAGGAAGGAAGAAAGGAAAAAATCCAAGAAAAGAAAAATGCAATCCCATTTTAACTAAGATTAGTTAACCTAGTGTATCCACAATGGGATGCACTCATTGACTAAAACTGTTTACTGTTATCACCTGTGATTAACATGTGACATGTTTAAGAGATTTACTTACCTTTCAATGATCACTGAAGATTTAATTGAGGTGCTGATTTAGCATCTCACAGAGGATGAGGCTTGATCTAGGATTGACCCTGAGTACATTGTTTTTAACAAATTCCGTAGTAAATCCTAATGACTAGCCCAAGGTGAAAAGTATTGTGGAAAAAATACCTGTTTAACAGTGTGCAAAAATACTCACATTATACAAAATAAGTCATTTATTCTATACCGTATGATTCCATTGGAGGGAAAATTATGATTATCATATATATATTTATTTATATAAATGCTTACAGTGTGATATTACCCACAAGATATCATTCATACACATACACACACACACACACATTTCTAGAATGAGAATTTTGTGGACAGTCAAACTTGCATTTTTGAGTCAGTTCTTTTGTACTCAACAGGTTTATTGTCTATGGTCTACAGTAATATTCCTCTAATACATATTGTTAGCTAACTGTGTTCCAGCCATTCCAGTGGTAATTTGGGAGTGGCTATAAGTACATACTGATAGATAGCTGCAAAATCACTGGCTCATCTCCTTGGTTATGTGCATATTCACAATCTTTCTGTGACCTCAGTTTGGCAGATATATGGAAATTTAACCTGGGTATCCACTTGGAAAGGAAAAATGGAAAGAAATCCAAGTGCTAAATGAAATTCTTACCTAGGTCACCTTGTTAGAGACTTTTATGGCCTTGATTATAGTGTGATGTTACCCACAAGAAGCCATAAATCCCAACCAACATCATCATTTGAGAAAATTCTGCTTAGAACTCCAGAAAACAGATGCACTTATCTCTCTGCTCAGTATATTGCTCATGCACATACTTTGAAATTTTTCATTTCCAGTGGTGTTGTCCTTTGAGAAATTCTCCATCCTGTGCACTTTCAGTGTCACCATACTGTCTTGAATTAGTGAGTCTTGCTCTTTGTAGAATTTTAGTCCCACAAAGGTACTGTATTTAGTTCCCAGGATGTACCTATGAAATTTCCCCCAGTCTTTTACAACAGGTGATCTGATCGATTGATAGCCACTGAGACTGGAGTAGCATTAAGCATTCCTCATCTTCGTACTGACTTGGAAGCGTTGGTGGCACTCTCAGTCTTATCAGATGTAGTATTTCCTTGCATTCTCACAAGCCTGCGCTTTGAGCTATTTGTCACTGTCCCAAGGCTCCTTTGTTTATTCTACCTGTCAGAATTGCACACTTAAATAAAGTAGTTTTCATTATTATCCTCTAGATCTCTTCCCCTTGGACCCATTATTTCTGTGGTGTCTGATGGGAGAGAGAAGGAGGAATTTATTTTAAGATGCAATTTCATTTTGTGTTTTGTCTTTTGTTAGAACCTCCCAGGAAGTCCTGTGTGTACCTTGTGGCCAGTGAACCTTATTCTTACAAGGAGTGGGTTTTAATATTTTTCCTATATTAAGTAGGAATGGAGCAAATCTACAACATGAACCCGTCAGACGAATCATCTCCCACTTTGACCCCTTCCTGCCCTGGCACTGGGCTCTTTGATAAAAATCATTCAAACAGTGCATTATTTTAAGGCATCTACTCTTTGTTTCAGATTTAAATTTTTCTATGACTTTTTTTTTGCCGAAAGTAGTTTTCTTTCCATCTTGTAATGAATTGTACTTTGAGCTATAATTATATAAATACTCAGATATTGTGCTTTTTCTTCAGGGTGTGTAAAAGGTAGTTAGTTGGTTTTCACTTTGTGCTAATCACTTTGCATTTAAATTGAACCTTCAGTTTTTGAAGGGATGTATGAATCGGTGAGAACAAAGAATTTTCTTTTTACAAATTTTCTTTTACAACCACTTTTCATTTTAGAAATGGAAGTTAAGCACTTATCTGGATCTTCTGCTGATGAACATTTCATTTTATAAAATTACTCATGGCTCACTCTTTTCAAAAAAGTTTTTGCTTTGCTTTACAACAGTGTACACACACAAAAATCACCAACTATTCTTTGGTGATAAAACACACACACACACAGCATTCATATAAAGACACTTCTGGTATTTCCTGGACAGATCCTGAGAGCTCCGAGCCTTCCTGTTGTTCTGCCCTGAGCTTTCCCTGTGGTTCCCACTTTCATCTCCTTTGCCTTTGTCCCTCCTCACAGCTTTTGTGTTTAATCTTTGAGTGATTCCCAAATAGATAATTCTCTGACCTCTTTTTGAACAATAACCAAGTAATAACCAACAGGATATTTCTACCTGAGTTTTTAGCCGATGCTTGAAACTTCAATTGGCCATGTTTGTTTCTTTCCAAAATTCCGAGAAGCATTCAATAGTAGGAAATCTGTAAATCCAGTAGTCATCGACACAGGTAATGAAAAAGCAGAGAAGTCAGTCTCTTGTTTGACTCCATTGTCCCCATGGAGCCACAGAGAAATGTTTTTAAAAAGAGAAAGAATGAGAAGAGGATAGAGTCAACCAAAAAATTTATAGATATCCATAAGGTGAAAACAAGCAATTTGATAAAAAGGAGTATAAGATTACCAGTTACATCTCGTATCAAAATAAGCATAAGCTACAAAAAGACAGATAAGTATCATGTATTTGTATCTTAGGACCTTTTTATCATCTTTCTGCCAGAAAGGGTTCCTGGAGGATTCTGTAAGGAGGAGGAAGTCCTGAGCAGTCAGGAGAGTTCTGTGGGGTGGGTGCTCTTCTCTCCTCTCTCTTGCCAACATATTTAGACCTCGTAGCACTCTGACTTCCCAGGAACTGTGAACTCTTGCAGCTTCCAATTGATTTTTTACTTTCAATGCATCTTTGGTCTTCTACTTTCTATTACTATTTTTTGGTGATAACACACACACACATACACACACACACACACACGCATGCAAGCACACACACAGAGTCTCAGATTATATTAAGACCATTTTGCAGCTCTCTTCTCTTTTTGTTTTTTAAGTGATGATATGAAAACCTTCAGACTTGGGTTTTAGACATTAAGTTCTTATTTTTCAGGGGACCTCCTGAAAAGACTTTCATTTTCTGTGAAAGTTGCCAGTCAGGGTGGCACATAGCAAGGTCCCTTCCTTCCACCAGGCTTTGCAAGTCATGGTGCTGTGGTTTGATGTAGAAGTATTTTCACTAGTGAATACTCATGTCCCATACCATATCAGGAACAAATGATGCTTTATTAATTTTGTCAAGGAGGCAGACCAAAAGAACTAAGAGATTCAATTTTGCATACAACATGCAGGTTAAGAAATCTTATTTTAGGGTGTTTAGCATTTTTATATGTAAAGGTGCCCCAGAAACTTGTACCACATACTGGGGAGCGTTCTGAATGAGAAGAAAAGTGAGTGAGCTTAAAGCCTTACCAGGAAACGGAGTGCAGTTTCAATACTGCCCTCAGATAATACTCTATAACTTTTATAAACTGTTTTATGTGTTTTATTTCTAGGGTTTTTGCTTAGTTTAGTGTCTTCCAATCACTGTCATTGGGGGGAAAGAGAAACACCACACATAGCTTTCAGTACCCTGGAAGACATGTAGTAAGCTCTTCTGTGACATACTAACGTATCTTCGGGATTCTAGTGAAGATACATTTTCTATTTATGTTTTTGTTGGCAAGCCACTTCCATGTGTCTCTCAGTAACTACTGTTGTTGTTTTAAGGTCATAAATTTGTATGAATCCTTTTGCTTATGTTTTGACTACTCGTGGTGACTTCTGTTTGGCTATACTGTTCTGCAGTGCCTTATGGTACTCAGCCCTCCTCTGAAATCTGGAATGAAACAAATTGTGAATTCATCTTATACACACAAAGTCCTCTCACCACTTTAAAAATGTGTATATAGGTATGTGTGTGAGCACATGTGTGTGACATGCAGCTTGTTAATTATTTTCTCTTTTACTATATAATAGTTTACTACCCTACTAAATCAAATTACTGAGTCATGTTCATCTTAAGGAATAAGATAATTTATACATTGAGAGCATTCTATCATTAGAATACTGAAACACACTTGGACCTGAATATCCACTTGAAAGGGAAATACCTGCTTGTTATACAAGAATTCACAGTGTTCAAACATACAGTCTGTTGTGACATTTATGCACAAATGTGTAACTTGTATTCACTTTCATGTATCATTTTCTCATAACAGTTGACTTCAAACCTCGTGCCAGCATGGATACTGTCCATCATATGTTACTGTTTGGATGCAATATGCCTTCATCCACTGGAAATGACTGGTAAGCATGATGGAATCATAGTACACAAAGGTGCTGAAAATGTGTGGTGTTTAATAGTGCCAAGTATTTTACAATTTTAAATTAATTAGTAAATGGTATGTTTTTCTTCCCCAAAAGGCATTGTCATTGTCCATTGGCAGCCTGCGTCATCGTTGTTTATGACAGTTAGTCTGCTGTGGAACATATATTTCAGTCTTGATCACTGACTTAATGAATATGTCTTTGTTGTGCATAGTGTGACCAGATGCAGACATGCAGTGAAAGCTAGGAAGTTAGACTATTGATACTCTGGCTTGATATTTTTAAGGTTCGTGATTGTGTGCAAGGAGAACAGTGTGAGCACACTTCTGACTCCGACACTGGCCTAGATGATCTCGATAAACCATTTCATTCTATCCTTATGCCTCTGCCTCTTCAAAGCAGATGTTACCATCCCTGCTAAAACAGACAAGAAGTCTGAACCTCGGAGAGGCTTAGTAACTTGCTCAAAGTAACACAACTGGTTGATGCAGAGCAGAATTAAACCCAAATGTCCAATTTCAAATGCAGAATTATTTCCACTTTTTACCATATCTCCTCTCATTCATTCAAGTAACTATTAACGATTAGTCTCTTCTTTCTGTGCATCTCATTATATAGAATAGTGGGCTTTGTATGAGTATATTCATCATACATGTAACATACTCTGCTCATTTTCATACCCGTGTCCCCCTTCCCCCTCCTCTCTTCTCTCTCTAATCCCTTTCTTTTCTCGTAGTCCCGGTGAGCATTATTAATATCATATCATGAACAGTCAGTAGACCTCTATGAAGTGCCTTGCAGGCCAGAAGGGTAGTAGATGCTATGAGAGGTTCTTGAATAAGTGTGGTTTTTACCTGTAGAAGTTTACACCATAATTGTAGCTTGAAATCTTCCTTTTCATTTTGTCTTTTGGGATTCTTGAAAATCAGTGGACTCTGAAAATAGCTATGCATTTTGAACTTTATTTTTTGTTGATACTAAGAATCACTGTTACATATTTTACAGTCTAGGATGACTGGAGTGCTTTTCTTTGCTCTGAGAAGGGACCTGTTTTGATGCGCTGTCTCTACATAATCATATAGACTGATAGACCTTTCTCTGTGCATCCTAATATTCATTAGTCTGATGGGAGGCAAGCAGCACCATTTGCTTTCTAGCCATTTTTATAATAAACAATTGTACTGTGTAGTTGGAACTGTTAAAAGCACAGCGCAATTAATGGAACTCTCCATGGACCAAGTACCATCAAAGCATTTGTTAATAGGCTTAAGTTATTTGATGAATAGGGCATATCATATAGGAACCAAACTCACATGACTAGGTTTATACAAAAATAGAGTCAGCAGAATTACAGTTAATACCCTGGGGTATCAACATTCCAGTTTTTCCTCTTTGGTAAATTTTCATAAATAGAATTGTAGGATTAAAAGATTATTCTGTAGCAGGCTTTTGTGAATCTCATTCAGAAAATCTCATTCTTTGGTTTTTATGCTTTAAAAATATTTCTTTTAAAATTAACAATATTTACTTTTGGATTAGATGTGTCAGAAATAAAAGAGATGGAAGCTTTTTATCTGCTTTAGCTTCACTTCAGTTGCAGGCAATGAGTGAGAAAATATAGTAGCACTTAAATGCTATTACAGATCTAATTGCTAAGAGAAATTATATAAAATGATTGACACCTAGTTCACTGTTCTCATGGTCTCAAAATGCCCAAGCAAACATATCACTCACTTTGGCCCTTTAAAAATATTTATTAGTATTCTCAGGCTGGGGATTTAGCTCAGCGGCATAAGCACCTGCCTTGCAAGCAGGCGGTTGTGAGTTCAATCCCGGGTACCGATAAAAAGTTAAAAAAAAAAAAATTTATTAGTATTCTTAAGTGTACTATTTTAAAATTACATCTATAAAATATGTTGACCAAAGTACTCCTGAGTTGGGGAAAAACAAGATCAAAGAAAATGAATATGTAAATGAAAACAGAAATGATGAAGCAATTACTAACATAAATATTATTTTTTCTAAAATTATTATGTGAAAGGCAACATAGAAGGATGAAAACACAGTGATCTAACTGGATCTATTCCTTGGATAGATCGTTACCTCAGATGGACTGGAGTTAGTTTTTACCTTTTAATGAATTATTTATACTTGGTCATTTGCAAAATCTCTCTCTGCTTGAAAATTCCATAATGTTGTGAATATATAACGCATACGAATGCTGAGTCAGTTTGATAGGTATTGTATCTAGTACTTAAAGATGTGTATAGTAGTTTACATATCCCAAAGGAGTGATAATCTGGGTTTTGCCAGTTAGTTGCATCATTGAGTAATTAGAATTCTTAGTTACTTTACACCCATTTTAAATGGAATTTAACATACCTACCTGGTGACCCATATTCCTATTTAATTTATAAATTTGTAATAACTAACCTTAAAACCATAAAGCAAGGACAGTAATTGATGTTGTTATTCATCTTCTTAACTGACAACTTCACTGAACTTCCAAAAGTAGGTGTAGGATCATTCAATATGCAAACTAGGACACATGCGTTAGGTAAACTGTAGTGGCAACCATGGCTTTACAATCTAGCCCTACTCCATTTAAAGATCCTCTGATGCTGTAGAGTATTTATCCTCCAGTGCTGTGCAAAATCCATGCCTCTCTTGAAGAATTAAAGCTCACAGAGTATTTTATGGGCTGAACTTCCAGATTGCTTCACAAAACATCCTTGACCCTCTGCCCTCAGTGACTCACAGGTTCAACCCTCGAGACACTCAGGAGATGCTTTCCAACAGTTTAGCTTCCTTCCTCCCACATGAATTATGGCACTAATAACAAAAATGCATCAGGGTCAAAAGTCTTGCACTCTTTTTCTGAAATTTTTGGGTCATAGAATTTGTCACATTCATTTTATAGTTGCAAATCTGTTCTTCACTTGACCCAAGATACAGAGTGCATTTGAATGAAGACTCGAATTTTCACATATGTTTTGGAACAAGATATGTAGAATGCTTTTTGATGCTTAAGAATAGAACTCATTTACACTCTGGGGAAATCTTGAAGGAGTGCCAGGCTGTTTTAACAAATGAAGAAAAAGCTAGTAAGATATTTTAACACCAAAATGTCAAGCTGGAATTTTCTATCTTTTCTGTGTTAGTTCGGATTTCCCCTATTTCATTTGAGTGTTCTATTTTCATTGCCAGCAGGTTGGCAAGTAGGTATGTGTCTTTAATTTAGAAAACATTTTTCCCCTGAAATTATGAAATTATAATTCATCCTCTGTCTTCAGGCAGCACTTTTAATATGAAGGCAAAGAGCTATACTGATGATGTTTCACTGTTGGGCTGCCCTCTGGTGCTCTTTGTAATTGCCTCTTTCTACTGTTCATTAAAATATATTTACAGTTATATTAAGTTTACGTGAAAATAGTAGACACAGCATGAAGCAGTTTTCATTATGCAGTCATTTTAATTTTACAGGGTTTTTTTTTTTCTCAATACACATTCCAGTCTTTTGTGTCTCTTTCCAAATTAGCAGCTCACACTGGTAATGTGTCTAGTTAATTATATGCATGTGCATGTAAATTGCATACATTGATGTGAAACTTTTAATATACTGTAGGGTGGTCCCTTTATAGTTAGCGTGGGGCTGATGCTCAATTGCAAATTAATGTACCTCTGGAGGATGCAAGTAAGAACCATGTGATGGAAAAGCAGCGGCTCTGCTGACCCATGTAAAGAAGGCAATGGTACCCGTCACATGTAACCCTAGTAACTTCCTTCTCAAGCATTTTAAGAAAACAATTAACCACATCTAGGGACCAACAGAGAGTAATAGCACCAAGATTAGAGCAAGTATAGCAACAACATGATTTGTTGGACTTTATTTGTGCTTGCAGACAATGCAAAGCATAGAAAATTTGAGTCCTTCACATTTGTTGGCTAAATATGAATCCTAAGTGAGTAGATGATTTTTTTTTTTTTTTGGTGGCCTGAAGATCAAGTCCAACAAGTGTTCTATGCTGTATCATGCCTGAACTTTCTTTGGGGCTTTTTAGGGAAGGTAAGGATATGAGGGTACTGAAAACTAGGTAACTTATATTGAAGAATCTCCACTAAAAAGTAGTGAATTTTTTGGAGATCTTGGAATTTTTTTCAGATACCGTATCTGTCTATTCTATGAATATTTTATCTTTACTCTAACATTTTTTAAGTGATAAGTGGTTAGCTATTGAGAGTTTTGATCTTTGAAAATTATGGTTTTTGTTTCTATAAATTGGCTTGGACATTTAGGGTAGTTTTCAGGTGCTTTCTTTTTTTAAATGTGTGTTATCTTCTGCATATTTTTTTCTGCTGAGCTCAAAGTATAGGGATTAAAGCAAAGTATGGTGGCAAATTGCCGAATTTTTTGTCCAAAATAAAGTGTGATTTGGGGTATAAGGTGGGTATCCATAGATAACAATTTGTACAGTACTGTGTGTTCCCAAAAGCAAGGAGTTTTGAATACTTTCACCACAAACAAATAATAAATGATCAAGGACATAGGTATGTATAACCCAATTTAAACATTGTGCAATATATTATGGATTGAACATTACGTGGTACCCATTAATATTCTTTTTTTGTGGTATCAGTTAAAATAAAAGAATGAACATTATGAAGACAAAAAGTCAGTGAGGTAAACTTAAAAAACACACACACATACAATGTATAATTAAAGTGGCTGGACATTTTATGTGTCCAGCCTTTACTTTGATGTGGTTTTTCTATGCATCTAAAATACATCTAAAATTATTTTTAGTCTTGTAATTAATATTTGATTTTAAACCTATTTCTGATGAGACTTGTAACCAACTAATCTTTATAAATCAGAGATGGCCTCTACAGGTTGTTTGATGTTTTCTGAAAAGCAGAGTCCCAGCTGGTTAAATGAGGCTATTTCCAGCTGTTCTAACTTGGAATGGGTCTCAGGCTAA